CGCTGTTGCTCATTCTGGATTATGGCGGATGTCATTGCCATCTCGGCCTCTTACATCCAGAGCAGGAGATTCTCTCCACCCTCACCCTCGAAGTTCTGAACGGTAACCATGAGCGGCCTGGGTCTGGAGGAGTCATCCGTCATCGACGGTGGCGTCATTGACGCAGTCGATGCCGACATCATCTTTTCTAGGTGCTCCAGCAGAACATTTTCATAGTGCGAACACGCCTCTAGGTGCGCGCTTATCGCTTCGGGTCCTTTCAAAGCAAGGTGTTGCTCGCCCTCAGGGCCAAGCAGGGACATCAGTTTCTTAAGCCCGTCCTGCATGCCTTGGAGCAAATAGGAGAATTGCTCCAACCTCATAGAAGATCAGTCGTTATGATAATAATAATAATGGATCAGGCGTAGATTGACAACGAGTGCTACCAAGTGCAGCGGGGATGCTGTAGCTCCTTGCTTAGAGAAAGCGTTCTAAGGTCACAGTCCCACCACGTAGTGGCTTCTTGTCACGGTGTTGCCACACCATTGTGAGATTACACCGCCTTGTGTAATCCACACCTTTGTACGGTCACACCATCTTGTGTGGCCTACGTATAATCCGTTACGAAGCTGGCTCGCAGCTCAAGGGCTAGCACCATTGGCACATCGCTCACAGAATGGAGACCACCAAAATCTACCCAGGAAAATATTAATTAATATTTCTGGACAGCAAGACCGAAACCATGTCAAAGGGGGCGTTAAAGCTAGACGAATTGTTTAAACGTAAACAGTGTAAAGCACGTAGAGGTAAATTTGCACTGTTCAGCTCAAATGTAATTTTATAAAGTATGTCGCCTCGCTGCTCCGTAAAGTATCCCGAATTAATTAAGAACGGCCGTCTCACGATCACGCGCGTTTCGTCGTTCAGCGTGTACGCCAGGACCCGTTTGGCCACAACCTTAAACGGTCCGATAAACCGTGGACGAAGCTTCGTCCTGAAGATAGCATAGGCTGCATGCGTAGGCAGGTATTTTGAATTTAATAAAACCAGGTCCCGGACCTTAAAGCTTTCCACTTTGCCTCTTCCTTTTTTATCTGCATATTGTTTCTGCGGGTTTTGGCTTTCAGCCATCGCATCGCGAACGTGTCGTAGGACGCTCAGTCGGTAGCCAAGAAGTCATCGACTTCTTCACGGATGGTGAGGGGGCTGACATCAGCTAGCCTTCGGCTATTCCTCCCCCCACCAAGCCCTGAGCCATAGGATGGCGGCGTCAGCGGGATGCGAGGGTGAAAATAGACCGTTCACATAGAACGGCGAGTAGCCGGTAGACGCATTT